AACTGCAAGTTCATAAGATTGTAATATGGAATAATGTAAATGATTGAATATGTTTACTATCTTAGTGATTTATTACAGTTTCATAGATATTATATAACTATTTAGTTACATAAATTATGGAATCATAATTAAAAAGCGTTGTCTCCTTAGTTACTCCAACAGTTTCATTTGTGTTTTTTTAATTTTAACACTATGATATACGACTTAATGAAATAATATATTTTTGATGTTTTGTTTCTATTAACACTTTCTTATTCAATATTTTTTTACGTCTCTCTTTTTTATAACACACTCATGTAGGCAAATCTACTAAAACTTGAAACATCTTATTAAACTAGATAATTTTATATTCATTTAAACAATATCTCTGTATAAGATTTAAAACACTCACTATAATTAATAAATCTATTCAAATATCTTTAATTAAAGTTGGTATAAGTAGATATTAAGAATAAATCACTAAGTTTTTATTAGATCCACTTAGTAAACGATCAAGAAAAAATATATAATAAGTAATTCCTTCATTTTTGATTAACTTACAAACGTATCTTACACGGTTTCATATAATTTGTAATTTTCTTTTTCAATAAATTAAAATGTTTCTTTGAAAAAAATTGCACTGACATTATATATATGTGAAAATAATGATAGTTACACACGCATATTTCGAAAAGAAAAAAAACGATACTATAGAAAAAGAGAAAAGGAAGAAGAACATGCTCTACCTAGTAGATTTATTTAGTTCAAAATAAAGAGATGTAGGCAAATGCAATAACTCTTATAGAAAAGAAAAAAAAGGAGTAATCATGAAAAATTCTCTTTTTTTTTCTTTAAATTAACTAAATAAAGCAATCCTTCGAGGAAAAAAACAACAGTATAAGAGAAAATATAAGAAACAGAAAGATAGGATTTGATGATCGATCACTCAGTCAGTCAGTCAATCAGTCAGTCAGTCAGTCAGTTAAAGGAAGATTAAAAAAATCCACAATCATTCAATGAAACAAACGATTATAACCTAGAAATTATTTGTTCTAGAAAAAAGAGAAAGATAAGAATTGACTGTATGTATGCTGGAATATATTGAATAGGAAGGGTTATGTTATGACCGAAATTTATATATATATATATATATATATATATATATATAACTGTGACGTTTGTGCTTGTCAGCATGCTTCACCCGACCAGTTGATATATCACTATTATGATTGTTGCTGTACAGATTTTTCAGTGTGACAGAAAAAAGTATCGGAAACAAAAAGAATTTTTAGTTCTTCTGTAGGTTATTGTCAGTAAAATTTTACTAGAATCAATTAAATAGGAAGTAAGATAAAAAAGCAAAGTATATAAAAACTATAATCAATTGACCTTGTTACTTAAGTAGCTCAAATTCATTACTTTAGAGATTTTGTTTTATTTTTAGCATAATTTTCTATTCATCTTTTATCGGACTTATATAATGTTATAAAATGAAAAGCACTGAACATACAAGAAGAATTCGGAAAATTGGTATACACAAAAAACCGTATAATACTTATTCAATCAGACAAACTCTAGAAATTTACAATAAACTTAGTTCTTTTTTGGTAAAAACAATCAATAGTTACATATGACTCAAGTAATATTATGCGCGCTTCTCCACTAGACAACTGTGTTAATGTCTAACTTTAACCACTCCACAAAATTGCTTGACCATTCTCGCGCGCAAGACCGAAGGTCCTAGGATCGAACCTCGCATGCGAGATCGTGTGTGCGCACTGTCGAGGGGTCTCATACTAGGATGAAATGGCCATCCAGTGCTTCCAGGTTTTCCATGGCGGTCTAACACCAGTCGATTCATGATCTCAATCAAATACTTTATAATAACCACAACCTCACACTGTTGATGAAATTGTGTCAAAGTAATATGAAATAACGATTGTGAGTAAACATGATTGAAAGGAAAATAAAGCAAAAAGAAACAATTTATTATAGTCCAAAAGTCTTCTTGATTATTGTGATTTTTATTTAGTAAACAGAAGGTTGGCTTGTGACAAGATATCCGTCTTCTGATAAAGGTTCAGTATACTGCTTCGTTGTACTCTCCTTCGTAATTTAAGGACATGAAGTGTGACCTTTAAAAAAGTGGAGACATTCATAGGTTATTAGTATTCGATTATAGATGCCTTCAAACATACTGGAACCATCGAGTTAGTAAATACAAGGTTAATCGTAGGGTACTGAGCAAAATTAATAAATCCATTGATGTACCGAGTCTTTATCGACCGAGGTTATTAGGATGTGAAAGACGTATTATCATCCGATGCATAACTTGACACGTCGTGATGAGTAGTCTAGAAGTAAGATGAAGGTAGGCTGGAGCTTAACTAAACCAAAATGTAGTATCAGTTATATAATGACATTAACTGACGAATTAATCAACTTATGTAGGTGCTGACTGCCTAGTTAGGATTAACGTAATTATCATAACCGGTAGCTCAAGATCCTTCACAACGGCACAGTCGCTTTAGATCACAAATCCCTAAATTACCTTATAAATTAGTTTTTATTTGGTTAGTCAATATTTTCCTCTCGAATCATATCTTATGTGCTCCATCTTTTCTATTACCACCGATACTGTTGCTATTTTGTTACTACTGGATTTGCCGAGGCTTTGTTAATAGAGTATGATAGCTTATATCAAGGTATACATATGCTAGGTTCAATGTTGCATACGACTGATAGAAATAAAAGGGAATGACTCTGTTGTTTATTGGTTGCACTGACACTTATACATTTTCAGTTTTTTTTCTTCTTTTATATTATCCGTGCTGAATCCTCACCTATATTAAATCTTTTCACTTGAATTTATTCATCATTTAAAAAAAAACTGAACAATGAAATAGTCAACAAAATTACCTTAAAACTACTTAATTGTCAAGGAAACTAATTATAGATGACTATTAGAAATGTTCAGTAAAACTAATCAAGCTAAGAGAATAATATTTTGATATGGAACAATATCATACAGTTTTATTGATTTTTTTACCTACTCATAATGAGAGAGAATATTTGAATTGGAAAGAAATTCAAATGTTTTTTTTTTGCTCATGTTAATTCTCATTGTTCGATAAAACGTTTCGAGTTCAAGTAACAATTTACTTGAACTCAATATAAATGTCGAATATTATTCTGCACAAAAGAATTATGCTATGTATAGATATAAGATTGTTACATTTGACTTCCAAAGTTGATAATATTACAATTCTTAAATCTATTGTATTATTCGGAATTATTTTAGTTCTGTACATATTATTATAACAATTCACAATCACATAGAAAAAAAATTTTTGCATCATTAGCAAGGATTGACATGGTAATTTCAAAATAGAACAAAACGGCCGTCCAGTGCTTCCAGGTTTTCCATGGTAGTATAACTTCATGTAATTCATGATTTCAATTATTGGAATTACTATAATATCCACAAAAACCCTTCTGACATGAATCAACACATGCTCACTAGTGACTGGTTTCAAAAGGTATTTCCTGGAGTTCTAGTGAGAAGCTGTGGTCTGAGGAGTTCAACCTTGTCTGTTGTGAGATACTAACTCACTTAAGACGATGGTGGATGTGTCGCTCAACTTCATGGATTAACATTAACACCGTTTGATGCCGACCCAGTGGTCCAGAGGTTAAGCGCTGGCGCGAGACTGATAGGTCTTGAGTTCGGATCTCGCGAGGTGGGATCGTAAATGCACACCGCTAAGGAGTCTCAAAGTTGTAAGAACAGGCCATCCAATTCTTCCAGCACTTTCATTGCGGTCTAGTCTCAATTGACTCATGATTTTAACGATTTAAATTTAGAAGTTGAGTATTGAATAAGTCGTTAAAAATAGAAAACATTATATATATATATATATATATATATATATATATATATATATATAATGTCTAAATAATGTAAAAAGGTTTTCCCAACTGTGAAGAAAGACGACTGGATGAAGATTCTCATATGTTGCTAAACCTTAATGCCTTCAATAGAAAGGAACACTTAACTATCCATTTTATATAGACTACTCATCCGTACATTCAAATATTTAATTAAATTCACGTTCCATAACACTAACAACAAGCATAAAAATATTTTAATCGATACTTTTTCACATTATAAACATCAGCTATTCCATACTCACTAACACACAAAATACGAGGTCTCACAAAGAAGCACCTTGAGTAAAATGATATGTGATCAGTCCGTTTCCATTATACTAAAAGGAATTCTGCTTTGTTTGTTTTGCTATAATTTGTTTGATTATTTATTCTCTGAGGAGGCAATTTATACTAGGTAGTAAAAGGTCCGAAAAACATTTTCCAGCCCAATAAGATTTTACCAATACACATATATCATTATCATTAAAAACAAAATGTATACTCTACAAATCCTCTAACTTTTCATATGTTATATAAAATGATATAAAATTAAGCGAAAATAAATAAAAACATATTATTAGTAAAAACAATTAAAGGTTTTATAAAAAAAATTATTAATTCAATTCATGAGTCGATTAAAACTAAACCACTATAAAAAAAAACCTGGAAGCACCGGATGGCCGTTTCCATCCTTAGCAGTGCGCACCCACGATCCCGCTCGCGGGATTCAAACCTAGGACCTGCGGTCTCACGCTTAACCTCTAGACCACTGAGCAGGCATCCAACAGTGTTAATGTCGTCCAGTGTTTCAGGTTTTCCATGATGGATTAGCCTTAATCTACGCATGAATTCAACCATTAAATTACTACAATCTGCGCAAAACCCCCTTTCTCATACAAAAAAGTGAACCAAAGAATTTACAAACTTATTTTCAAATATATTACTTTTTGCCAATACAGTAGCATAATACTATTTTATTATTTCATATAGCAAAAATATCAATATCTATTTATTTATCGTGTAGAAATGGATAAGTAATTGAATAATAATTCATAGAAAATGACAACTCAAATAATAATATACTGACTGACCTGATAATAACATTGGATCAATGTTTTCACCTTTCTTCACTTGATCAGGTTCACCAGTTAATGAACTTTCATCAACCTTTAAATCATTACTTTGAAGAATCACTCCATCAGCAGGCAGTAGATCACCTGTAAACAAGAATCATAAAAACATTACGTGTAATACTAAAAAATGAAAACTCAAAGTAGGGTTAGAATATGGCAGATGGTTACGCGACATCGAGAATGGACTGGGGTTAGATATGCAGACCAATAGATATCAGCTAAGTGGTCTAAAGCTTAAACAATTGTATGTAAGAACGAAGGTTCTAGTTTCTAATTTCCTGCGGTGGGATAGTAGATGCATATTGCGAGGGGTCTGACACTAAGACGATGCAGTTGTTTATTACTTTCTAGTTTTCAATTGAATCCTAACTAAAATCAGTTTATGATTTAAACCACGAAAAACAAAGCGTCGAGTGAGAGATTATTGAATAGAGTTTAAACACAAGGAGAAATCGTTGATTAAAAACTTAATTAGTGACTTTTTTTGTCCAATATAATGTGTGGAAGCTCATGGATTTGTATTGGGATTAATAGGAATATAAAGACTGGAAACTTTGGAATACATTTATTAAAAGAAATAGTTATAACACAGATCCGTTTATTCAATGCCTCATTTCAATATCTATGATTTTTCTTTTGTTTAACCCAAATTATTCTCGTTTATTTTGATATCACTCCGCATTATTTTTCTTTCTTCGTGTTTTTTATACATCTAATAAACTTTTATGAAGTGTTTAACAGATGCATCGTTCATAAACAATTCCAATTTATTCAATGTCTGATGAACACACATTTTTCAACCAAGTAATACCAAACAGATATTTTCAAACATCAAGCTATTTTTAGCCTGGATACAATGATTAGTTCCTGTTTTCATAATTGATAGTGATCCATAAACGAGGCACTGTGTAAGTTCATCTACCATTTACAAAACATTTACTCAGTAAATGTGAAAAAGTGTTTATTAAACTACATTCATAGTCTTCGTAATAACAATGTTCAGCCTTATTCACATATATCCGTGTAATTCATACATAACTACTTCAGTGAAATCAAAGTCTATTTTCTTAAGATTAACTTAACCTATTACCGAATAGCATCATTAATGAATAAATCTTGTGTATAAAATAAAGAGAAAAACATTATCAAATATATGTGTAATAACTATTGCAATTTATTTATCATCACAAACATATGTTCACTGAGGTATCACAGAGCAATAAACAGCTGTTATCATCCATTGTAATACTAATTGGTAATTTGTATCCATGATATTGTCAAGAGATTAGATCTCGAGCTTTCAAATTTCCCAGCTAGTTTATTGTCTTAAAACTATTGAGTAAATATTCAATTATTCATATTTCTAATATCAGTCAATTAATAACGTTGTTTGACCGTTATTATCAATCAATTATTTAACAGTTACAGTAATCACTGATCAGTAGTTACTATTATTAAAGCCTAGTGTTTTGTTACTTGGCGAGAAAAGTAAACATATGAATATAAATAATTTGAACAATATATCTATCTACAGAAAAATAGTAAAGTTAAAATTAAACTACAGAAAAAAAAGAACTTCAAAAGATCTCAGATACATAAATAACTAGATATTTTTGAAAATACCACAAACATCTCTTGATAACGGTATTGTTATTTTCATTATTTTATTTCAGACATATTAAAACTTTAGAAAATATCTAAAATTTATTTTAGCATATTTGTGTAGTTTTCAGAATATTTTTTCACCTTTGATTTTACAAAAAATAATTAACAAAATAATTATAAAAGTGCATAATTTAATCAAAACAAGTAGGAATAACCGCTAATATCTATAATAGATATACTGGTGTTGTTGTATACTAAAAATAAATGTGTTTATTTAGCATAATTTAGAAAAGAAGAACTATTCTAATTAAATTGAAGCATAGTTAGTTCAAATGTACTGACGACATATTTTGTATTGATCTAAGTCGTATTGATACAAAATATTACTTTCCTTTTACCATATAACACTACTTTATTTATGTATATTAATGTAAGGTCTGATGATGAAATAGTTGAAAACAGTCGTTAGTTCATGTGTTCTTTACTTTTGAATACTCTATGAGGATCCTTAAACTATAGTATACAGCTTCAAAGCATAGGTATAAATATTTACGCTAATAAACATGAACACATAACTAATCGATAACAACGATATGAAGTATATACAATTAGTTCTATAATCATAATTAATGATGATAAGCGATATGATCTATTTGTATGGTACACACTGTTGTAGGATTTTACAACTTATTCAATAAATTACACAAACTGATAATCATACAATTTTGACGAAAAACTATTCTATTAGGAGGCAAATTCAGAAAAGCGATATCAAGTAACAGAATAAACATGCTTAAGGATAAATGCTTTCTCGCTTTTCAAACACCCAATAAAACCAATTTTTCTACAGAAATGAAGTTTTCTCTTAAGAGATAAACATTGGGATAAAAATAACTGCAAATAAATTTTTTTTAAAAAGCTGAGCAACACAATTTGTTATTTTTTTGCATCCTTTTTTTCAATCAAAACAGGTCAAAAAACGGTGGGAGTTTCTATAATTAGCAATGACACAGATGGGATATATATATATATATATATGTTCGCATTAACCATTCGCTTCTACCCATAACAACTTTATTTGTATTCAAGCATATGTTTAGAACATTGGACCTTAAATAAGCGACCTTTATTTGTTCGGATATTCTTGCCGAAAGCAATGAAAATTTTTCTCACCATCAAAAATAATCAATGCATAATTATTTTTCATAGAGTTAAACTTGACTTTCTGTACATTTTTGTTTATATCATTTCAACTGAAAGAAATTTAGATTGGGTGAATAAATGAGTCTCTGATTGCCACAATAAGTTCAACTATAAGTCGTTTTAATAAATTTCCAAGATGAGAATAAATAAAACTTTATTATGCATAATTATTACATATATATAAACGTATAATATATATATATACATATATATATATATATATATATATATATATACGCTCAGGTAATTTTCCTAATCGATAACTGATTTACCAACATAGTAACAACATTTGTTTATTTTTATTAAGATACCCATAATGAAACGAGTGAAATCTTTGTAGTGAAAACAATATGCCACAACAGTTGAACCATACTAAACATGACTTTTAAAGTCCCTATTTTTCTATTAGCAAAAACTGACAGAATCAAGGATTTGTGGTACGAAATCCTGTGTTGGTGACTGTACGTAGCTTATAAGTTTACCATGGTGCATAATTCGTTTTTCCTAAACCCATTAAGAAAGTCAATTTTATTTGAAAGGTTATTTTGTCAAGTCATTAACATCTAAGAGCGATTTCTCAAAGTTCCTACAATGTTTATGTCTGGACGCACTGGAAGGTGTTTTTAAAGCAATCCTAAACGTCTTATCACTAATTTTCACTAGCTGAGAAAACAGTTTATTGGTAAGCTTGAAATTTGTGTAACTCTTCCCTATTTCTTCAATGACTAGACTAAGAAAAATCTTAGAACTGTGCAAGAACATATATTTCCAGTAACTGTATTGTTAGGTAGGTTAATAACTAATCTTGTCTTATTAACTCTATAACTTGCAGTTTAAATAATAATATCTGCAAAGGTTTTACACTTACAGCCTAACATTATCATGATCTAGTCAATATGTTTGCACAAATTACACAGACACTGAATATTTGGCAGTATTGAACATTGATCGAATGATATTTCTAGCGGCGTCTTAAAATGCTTATCGATATTAAACTTTTCTTTGTATTTTATAATATTGATACGGTCTAAGCTCTCTCTCTTCCTAAACTAGGTTCTCAGCAGTTAGTTTTTCTCGTTGTTAGTTCTCTTACTGCCACTAAATGGATTCAGTTTATTTTTAACTCATCTTGTGATATTCATTTCGTTCTGCTAATCTGGTATGGCAGCTTTGACTAGCAGACATCTGAATCAAGCTCCACGCTAATGATTTCTAAGTTACCGATTGTAACTAGTGAAACCAAGAGATATCAAAGAAATAAAAGAAAAATTACCTAACGATCTACATCATAAAAATGTTTATGTAAATGAAGTACATAAAATAGACTTTTTAATGGAAACTGTAATAAATGACAGGTATCAAGTAAACATTATATAAGCAGAATTATACTAATTAAAATTTTCTTATAAAATAAAACATATAATGGACGTCAAAACTATTCTTATTTTCCCCCCAGTTTTCGAATTTTGACATTATTTCTCTCTGAACTAATGATTTCTTCTAGTTGCATTTAAACAAATTGTGGTATTTTTTAATCTGACGTTTATCTCTGAATAACTGTATGCTTTTTAGGATTATAAATAACCATAGGTAAATAAAATCAAATTTTAGCTTGGACCGACCAATTGTTAAACCAGATATCATAAAACAATACTGATTTAGTTAAACCGATTTCACAAATTAATAAATATAGACTGATTTTGATTACACGACTGATCTCTTTCTAGGATATACGAAAACTTAAGAAAGAAACAATTCAGGACAGATTGTTTGTATTTATTTGAAATATACTATTCATTCTTTTATTAGATTTTCGATAGTGTTTATTAATAAAATCCCAAAGACTATTTCAGAATGTATGCAAAATGAATCTGTTCAACTTAGTTTAATTTGAGTGATGTTGTTCAAACTCAAAATGAAATACATCTTCAGGATTGAACTCAGCATTATCTTTTCTAAAGAAAAAACATTATTTACAATATAAACACAGGAAATAATATATCCTCTTATTATTGAGTTAATATGTAAACAGATATTTGTTAATCCAGTATGAAACAGCTGTACAGTGCTTCCTGATTTTCAATAGTTTACTAAGATCCGTCCAATCAGTAAATTATGTTAATTCAGATTTATAAATTAACAAAAATAAAAAGCTAAAAAGTACGTTCAAAGAGAATTTTTGTCGTTATACTGTTTTTATATCACTTCACGTGTTTTTACAATTAGTTTAGGTTGCTAGGTAACACAAAACGTACACACTTTTTTGTTATTATGGG